TCTCCCAGAGGACATACTACACAAGGCCACAACCTTGGACGCTGGCATGTCCTGGCCCCGGGCCCCACTGGCGATGCTCACACCTGCCCACTCTTTTTTATTTTAATTATTTTATTTATATTTTAGTTGTTGATGGACCTTTATTTTATTACTTTACTTATATACAGCGCTGAGAATTAAAGCCAGGGCCTCACAATGCAAGGCAAGTGCTCTACACTGAGTCACCACGCCAGCCCCCACCTGCCTACTCTTGACAGGAGCACATGTCCCAGTACTCAGAGAAGCAGGGCTCACGGGCACAACAGGGACAGCAGGAGGGCCTGGCTGGCAAAGGGCAGGCCGCAGCACGTGGAGCATAAGTCTCCTGCAGCCCTGGCCTTCCACCCCTTCCCCAGGTCCAGCCAACTGCTTCAGCTGCCGCCGGGCAGGCCTCCTCCTCCACCCGGCGCCACACGTCACCACAAGCCAACGCTGTCTTAAGAAGCTCCCGGAGCTGTCAGCAAAGCGTTGTCACCACAGCTGAGCTCCCGCCATGCAGGAAGCAGCCCTGCTTGGCAGGCGCCTGCACTTGGGGGCAGGCTCGTCCTAAGGTGGGCTCAGCCCTGCCAGCTAGCTACAGGGCTGTGGGGACACAGTCTGCACAGGAACCAAATGTCCACAGGCTGGTCCTGTGAGGTCTGATGGGCTCCCTGGCAAAACCTACCCACAATGGCACTTTTCAGGCCAAAACATGCTTCTCCATGCCCCAACCCAGAGGATGCAGGAACACGGACCACTTGGCGCCCAGCAGGAAGACGTATCCCAACACCCATCCTAGGGAAATGGCCAGAACCTGAGGCCAGCCCTGCTGGACAAACAAGCAGCTGGGTCAGGTCCAAATGTGTCTCTGAGCAAACAGCAGCCCAAACCAACCAACCCCTCAATGCTCACCATCACCCAGTGGGACCAAAACTCTCCAAAGGTCAGGCTGAGGGGTGGAAGGCTGTGGGAGGCTGTTCAGAACAGGGCCAGCCATCATCCCTCCTGGCCCTCCACATCCCAAACAGGACAAGGTCTTCATTCTGCTGGGGGCCAGCCCAGCACTCCCACCAGCAGGTTCTTGGGGTCTCTCATCAAATGGACACTCCCAGCCCAGACAGTGGTCAGCCAGGAGCACACAGGCCAGCAGAGGTCCACTGTTCCATTCTTGGCTAACACAAAGTGGGGAAACACTGAAGACGCTGTGTCCACTGTGGGACTCTGCCCAGGATCACGGGCGCTTCAGGACCATCCTGGGTTCAGGAACATTCAGAAGTAGAGACAGGCCCCCCGTCCACGTGGCTGGCATACGGGGGCCTCAAGGGGGCCACGCAGGGTCCACATCAAAGGCCTCCAGGTGTGCTGGCTGTGCTGTGTGTCCTCCTGAGTCTCTAGAACCTGGCTGGAAAGTCTGACCCACCCTGACCCCCACACACATGTTCTCCCCACTCTAACTTGTGAACCTGCCAGAGAGCTTCCTACCTGTGGTCAACTGTGTGTTCCAATCCTGTGCAAACTCAAGAACGTTCAGAGGCTCCCTCCACAAGTAAGCAGAGAGGTTAAACATATCCCACCATTCCGGAGTAATTCCGCTTCAAAGCACTGGCGAGGACTGGAAATCCTGTGAAGAGGCCACGCAGTCGGACAAGCTCAGGCCCCCCAGAAATGCAGGTTCCCTGGAAACCACAACTCTGAGGCATTTCTGCCTTTGGGGAAATTTCCATAAGATTCTCAACTCCTCAGTCGATAGACACTTCCTCCCAGGAGAGCCGCAGCAAGGCCTGGGGCCTGGAGAAGCCGACAACACGCCATTCAGTGACTCGGGTCTCTTCCCAGCACACCGGGTGCTGGGTCAGCAGAGACCAGAGAGCCTGCTCCTGTAAGTGGCCACCTCTCCTGCCCAGCCTGCAGCTGCCCCTCGCAGGCAGCCAGATGGAGGACATGCAGACATGAGGGTCTGCATGTGGGGCTGAGGCTGTACCTCCTGCTGTGCGGGGCTTGCCCACCGCCACAGGCCTCAGAGCTAAAGGCAAGCGGGGCTGAGGGAGGGGGCCCAAGGGCAGCCTGGACTCAGCCCCACTGTTATCCTGGGCCCGGCAGAGGAAGGAGCCCCAGCTGGGTGCCCAAGGAGCGTCAAGCAAAGCCCTGACCCTGGGATCTGCTCTTGCTGTTGTGAATGGGAGATGAAGCTGGTGGGGCGTCCACGGCCACAGGCCTGGGACCCCAGAGGCCTCCACAGGGAATCGGGACACTGGGGATGGAGGAATTCGTGACCAGCCCAAGCGCTGAGCTGGTGCAGTGGGTCCAGCCCCCAGGCACAGTACCGCCCAACTCCAGATGCTCCATCTGGCCTGTTCTGAGTGCCACTCTCCCAGGCCACCCATGGCACAGGTGTCCTCATCTCTGAGGTGGAGGCCCCAGTCTTGGGCAGGACAGGCTCTCTCAGCCTGTTTCCCACACACCCCTCTGGGGGGCTGGCTGGGGGACCAGTGACTGCCCCTCAGGAGCAGCATGCCTGGCAGGCAGCCCAGGAAGGCCCACCCTTTGCACTCAGGCTCCAAGAGGCCCTACAGTGCTGCGCAGACTGGAGCCCTTAGGGAAAGGGCTGGGGGCAGGTGTCCACCAGCTTGAAAGTAGCTCTGGAGACACACAGGCGGCGTGCGATGGCTCCCCCAGAGGCCTGTCAGAGTCCTATGGCTGGTGAGCCTGGCTGACCTTGCCCACCAAGCCCTGGGGCCAGAGAGCAGCTGCCTCTTCCCACCCTGGACAGCAGCTGTCCTTCAGGGGCCCAGCAAGGATGGCCAAGAGACTGACAGAGCTCCACCCCTTAGAAACCAGGCTTTGGTGGCCGAAGGCAGAAGGAAGTTGGCCCAAGGGGGCCCGACACTGCCAGATGTGGGACTAGCTTCCACTGTGAGCCACAGCCCTGTCCTCCACTGGCCATCCAGGGCCAAGGAAGGACTCGATCTTCATTATGAGTTAATGGACAAACCGAATGGCGTCTGATACATAACATGGGCCAGTTGTGCAAGGCCAGCAGGGGACATGAGGACCGGCCACCTGGTCAGGAAGCTCAGACCACCAGTCCTCCTGAGTCGGGAAGGGGCATGCTGGGCATGGAGGGTCCCACCCTGGAGACCTGGGCATGGGTGATGAGCCACAACAGCCATACAAGATGTCCCACCTGGCACAGTGGGTCTGCAGGCACCTGGAGAGGGTGGACAACCCCTCTCTGTGGGTCTTCACAAGGCCCAAGAGACGGGGAGAGGCGGCACCCCTTTACCAACAAGAAGATGGAAGCCTGCAGAGGTTGAAAGCAGACCCTAGTGTGTGGCCTGGCACCTCCCAGAGGCCCTGTTCTTAGACACTCTCCCTCCTGTCTGCCCCCTGCCAGAAAGGCACCGCTTCCCACCAGCCTGCCCTGCCAGGGAGCCCCGGAAGCCCCATGCCTCAGTGAGGGAGCAAGCAGAGGCCTGCAGCAGGCTAGAGCGCTACCTGGGGAAGGCCTCGCCCCCAGCGCCCCCAGCTGCATGGCAGAGGCTGCCCTCTGAAGGGGATGGTCCTGACTCGGGGCTTTCCAGAGGAGACGACCCACAGACCCCACAGCCTGCCACTCACCCAGGATGCTGCAGCTCTAAGGAAGGACCCAGGGGTGGGACCCACACAGGGGACCCAAAGGGGACCCTGAGGAAATGCTGATACTGCATGGGGGACTCTGTCCGGCCCACACCCCAGAAGTCTTCTCTGGCCACGACCTGGATGGCCAGAGCCGGTCCCACAGAAGCCTTTGAACCCCAGACAGGCAGGGAGCAGGGTGCTGCTGGACTAATAAGGACAGGCGCTGGACCCTGCCTGGACCCTAGACTGAAGAAGCAGATCCCTCTCACTGAGGGAAGTGGAGGCCACACTGGCAGCACCAGCACTGCCTACTGGGGGCCTGAAGGCAGCCGGGGTTCCCGCTAGGGGCCTTCCTCCGTCCCAGAACCACATTCTAGCACCCACACAGGCACGCACACCCTTCGCAGCCCAAGCAGGCAGCTGGCCCAAGACTTCCCAGAATCCGCTCCTCACTCCAGACCCAAAATGCCTCTTCCACACAAAATGGCCGAGTCTCGGGGCTCTTTCCTGTCCCTGGCTTGGCTGGAAGGGGAGAGCAAGCGCCCTCACACTGGAGGCTCTGCTCACTACCTACACACACTTGCACACCCAGCAACTCCCACAATACCACACTCAGAACACGGCAGCCCCCGCCAGCCTGCGCCAGGCCCCACAAGAGGGGCATAGCCAGGTCCTGGGCGGGCCTCCTCCCAGGCTCTGAATGTGCAGGGGGGCACCCGCTGCTGTGCAAAGACAGGCCAAGACTGTGCTCAGTGTGAGGATCAGGGATGAGGGCTGGCACCAGTGGGGCACTGGCCCAGGGCTTGGGCTGGTGAAGTTAGACCCCTCCCCATTTCAGCAACCCAGAAGCTCCCGTGGAGAGTGAGAAGTTGGAAGGATGGCCAAGGAGAGGCCAGCCCCGCTGCACCGGTTGGTTGCATGGGGGCCCCGCTGCAGAGCCCCCCAGAGTCTTCTGGACCCTGGACCACGCAGCCCTCTTTCCCCGCCGGCCCTTTGTTCCGCGAGCGAGCGGGGCTGTGGGGAGGGGCCTCCCGCTAAGGGGGGCTGGGGCGCCAGCGCAGCTCGTCCTGCGGGGGAGGGGCTGGTGCAATTCAGCCGGGCGCCTCCGCCCCACCTGAACCGCCCTGACCCCGAGAATTTCTTCCAGACTGCTTTCCAAAATCACTCTCTGATCTCTGCCCTTCGCTTAACCAAGGGACGCAGTGCCCCGACCCAGACCCCTGGCACACGCGAGACTCGTGCGGGCATGCGGACACGCACACAGGGGACACTCCATCCACGGCAGCTCCACGCCCGCAGTCCACCCCCGGCCGAGCCGGGGTCGCCCCCAGCCTGCTGTGCGCAGCGCCCCGCCGGACACTCACACGTAGGCGTGGTAGATGAATGCCCAGCCACGGGGCCGCTCCAGCACGTTGTAGAGGAAATTCTGCAGCTTGCGGTAGAAGGCGTTGCGCTTGGGGGGCTTCCCGGCACCTGCGCCGCCCGCGCGCGGCTTACTAAGAATGCTGCCGCGCTTGGGGGCCTCGGAGCCGGCGATGAGCAGAGCGCCGTCCCTCGTGGAGTCGGGCGCGCCGGGGTCCAGCCCCACGAAGCCCACTTTGAGCTTTTTCTCCCCGCTAGGGCCGGGGTACACGCCGCCGTTGCGCGACTTCTGCACCATGGTGCCGGGTGGCGCCCCGGCCGGCCGGGCGTGGGCTCAGCGGGGGCGGCGTGCTGGGGGAGGCGCAGGCCCCAGGCCAGGCCCTCGGCCTTGGAGCCGCATGGCCGAGGCGGCAGAAGCGGCGGCAGCGGCTCCGCGCTCCTGCCGGTCCCGGCCGCGCGCGGGGACGCTGCGGCCACCTCGCTCCGCGCGCGCCTCGGTGCTCGGCCCGCGGCCGCGCCGGCTCCGCCTGCTGCCTCGCCCCGCCCCCGTTAACTCCTGCGACACCGCGCGGCAGCGCCCCGGAAGGGAGGAAAGGAAGCGAAGGGCCACTCTGGGTCTCAAGGACTCTTCTCTCCCTATCAACCCGCCATGTGCGCATTGACAGGGATTCCAGCCTCGCGGTCACTTTTGAGGCAAACGGGGCCATGTAAGCTGGCCATCTGACCAGGCCTGAGCTCTCCCTGGGATCCCAAAGTGGTACCAAGCGCCTGACCCTGGTTGGACTCCTGCCAGCTGGGTTCCAGGGTGGACACCTCCGGTGGAGGAGGGTACTGGCTCTTGCCAAATTCTGATTTGATCTGCTCCCTGGGCGGAATCGATCTCAGCCGACTTCAGGGTGGATGGGGCATTTGGAAGCCAACTCCTCACTGGGATGTGCAAGGAGAATCGGGGGACTCTTCCTGAGAGGTCGCCTGGGTGGGACCTGGAGAAGGGTCCTGGAAGGGAGGCCCTCTAGGAAAAGGAGTGGGAGGAGCAGTCAGAATCACCCCTGGAGGGCCTGGAAGTCCCCAGGGGACCTGGACTTTGCAGATTCAGAGGGTCCTGCCACAGGACAGGGAGCTGGTGCCTTGAGGCCCAAGCCAACACAGGCCAGTGGGGACACTAGTGTCTAGTGCAGGATAAAAGAGGGCAGGCTCTGGTCAGAGGCAGGAGGATGTCCCCTTTCAGGGAGGAGTGGGCAGAAGTAGCTTCCCTTTCCACAGGTCAGGGGGTGTCCCAGGAGAGGGCCCTCTGGAACCTGCAGCAGGGATGCCAAGGGACCCATCTCTCAGACCCTGAAGCTCCTGCGCATCCTGCCAGCTCCTCACCAAGTGGCCATTGGAGCCTTCCTCTGCACCTGGGGGTCTGGCTCCACCAAGCCTCTTCCCATCTGCATCCCACCCCAGCACCACGTGTTGTGGCCAGAGAGAGCTCCTCTTGAGTAGCAGTACTTAAGTACCTTGCTTATAAAATGGCATTAGACCCCATACTGAGTCAGTCCTTTAGTTTCCAGAGCTCATGGCTATAGAGCCTGGTTTTTTTTGCTGTTGTTGTTATTGTTGTTTGTTTGTTTTCAATTAGGTTGAAAATACATGGTGGGCACAGTGCTAACTTGTCAGTTATCTAGAATGCTGGGGTGGACTGGAGCTTCTGCAGGCAGGTGTGCATACCGTGCATAGGACAAGCCAGGGCACAGCCTGGCCCCTGCCTCCCTGCCTCCAGGCCCAAGCATCAGCCACGATCAGTAAGTGGCTTGCCCCCCTCCAAGCCTACAGAGCCACCCAGGAAAGGTTAAGGGAAGAGGCCCAGCCCAGTTGGCTCAGGGTAAGGAAGGGACTTTGAGTCCCAGATGAAGCAGGTGCCACCCCATCCCCCTGCACATGCTAGCTGGCCTTGCCATTTGCCCTTGGGTCACCCTCATTCTCCCTCTGCAAAAGACCAAACAAATGTGAAAACCAAAGGGAGGCCTGGGCTGCCCCATCCTTATGGGGGAAGCCCCATGCTTGATTCTCCTGGGAGCAACTCCCAGGCTTGAAGTCAGACCAAAGTGGGACCCACGGTTGGGGCTGCTTCACAGAGGAGAGAGGCATCTCAGGTGTCATTCTAGCAGATGCACAGCCCTTAGATGAGAGCAAACCTAAAGGCTCTCTGGGGTCCCAGGACATTGGAAGGGACACCTGCTCATCTCAGCTTTAGCAGAAAGGGAGAACACAACCTTGAAGTTAAGGAGACATCAACTGGCCCCCACCAGTCTTATGGGGGGCTGAAAGTGGGGTTCCTCTCACAGGGAGGCTGGAGGGACCTTCTCGGCGTGCAACATATCTTTTGCCTCCACAGCCATCTGTGGTCTTCTCCACCAATGGTTTCTGCACCAACAGCTTTGCGGCATCTCAGAAGGTTCCAGAAAGTGAACCCTGTAGCAAGACTTAGAATCCTTTGTCTCCTCCATTTAGGGTGTCCTTCAACACACTGGCTCATTGATCATTTATGTCTTCAATGCTGTGCCTTACATTCTTGGCAGTGCCCACCACCATGCCCCCCAACCTGTACCCAGTGAACAGGGTCACAGAAGCTTCCAGTTAGGGAAAATTTCATGCATGCAACAGGAATTCCACTTCATTTAAAAATAGATGGAGGGCTGGGTTGTGGCTCAGAGGTAGAGCGCCTGCCTGGCATGTGTGAGGCACTGGATTTTATCCTCAGCACCACACAACAATAAATAAAACACAGGTTTTAAAAAAATAATAATAATAAGGTGTTTTATCTTATGATGAAACTTAAATTAAAAAAAAGATGGGGAAAGCTTTCAGGCTCAAGCCATCTTTGCCAAGACTGCATCGACAGAATTCCAGAGCAGAAGAGTTCAGAGGTTCCAATTCAGGACGCCCCACTCCCGCTGGGAGAGAGCGCTTGCCAGCAGCAGGCGGGAGGCCCTGCAGCCAAGCCAGGCGCTGTCCTTTCAGCACCTCGGATGCTGCCCAGGCTCCCAGAACCTTCCAAGCCCCGCCCATGCCTCATGCCTTCTCCTCTAGGCAGGCGGCGGTGGGACTCCTCCTGTCCTCACCTCACTGAACTGCCCTCAGCAGCCAGAGAAGGTGGACTACGGGCCTTGCTGCTGCCATAGATCCTTCCTGCAAATTCTTTCCCCATCATGAAATGTACCAGTAGAGGCTATGACCACCTGCCACCCAGCCAAGCTGTCCCTGGCTTGCGCCTGTCTTGCCCAGTGTCCCCCACAGCCTGGCACAGACAAGGACCTGTGATGGGTTTATATTGTGGCTGCTTATGGTGGAAGTCAAATTGAAGCGCATCTGGATCATTCCTCCTTGGAGAGGCTGCGTGGTGAGCCTCCCTCTCCTCATGGTGCAGGTAGGGGCAGGCCTGCTACCTCCCCCAAACCCACTGCTCTGCTGCTGCTCAGGCTGATATGCAACCCTGGAAGTCAGGACCCTGGCCTGGCAGACACGGAGCACAGAGGAAGTCGGTGGGTCAGCTGTCCCAGTAGCCTAGCTGCAGCACACCAAGGGAGAGAACCCAGGGAGTTTCCGTAGACTGTGTGCAGGAGAAAGTGCCTCAGCACCACCCCACAAGGAAGCCCTCGCTGTCACAGGGATGGCAGCCACAGCAGGTGTCCGGCCACCTGAGTCCTGTGGGCCAGTGACCTGCACAGACAACAGCACACTCAACACTGAGAGGTACTTTCCCACTTCACTTCAGTCCCCACTCTGTCTCCTCCCAGAAGAGAAGGAGAGCCCCGGCCCTGGGTGTCAGCGGAGCAGCTGGGGCAGGCTCCCCAGAAACAAGACTGACTCTGGAGAACGAAGGGACAGGTTCTCACGGCTGAGCCTGGCCAGGGCTGCTACTGTTGCAATCCTACAGCTTGGACCACAGGAAGCGCCCTCCTGGGCAGAGAGAGAGGCCCAGCTCCCCGCCTGGACAAGAGTTTTCCTCCAAGGAGGAGGAAGGGCTATGTGTCTGGGGACGGGCTGGGGGGGTGGGCGGGGCGGGTAAACATCTCACACTAATGCTTATTGACTAAAATCAATAGGAATTTAATTTATAGTTTTTTAAAAAGGACTAGAACTCTAAACAAGCTTCGCAGCCCCCCGGCAAACCAGCTAATGTGGTAGAGCAAGGGAATGGACCTGCCAATACCTGCCAGAGACCTATTGTCAGTGGCAGCTGGAGACGGCATAGGGTGAGGATGGCCCTGGGAGTGTCCTGACATGGAGCTTCCCACAGGGCACTCCCCACAGTGGCCCTCATCCTGAAACCCATCTGGGTGGTGGTGATCCAGAGTTTCGCACCTGGCACCCATGTGCCTGCCTTTCCCACACCTCCAGGCAGAAGCAGCTGTAAAATTGTCCCCGTTTTGCTGCAGATAAGATGTGAGGACACAGAGGCCTGTGGCTCTGCAGGCGTGACCCAGACCCTTGTGCAGTTCCCTGGCACTCTGACACTACCTGAACGCTTTCCAGACCACAGCCACTTGCCTGCAAGATGCAACCAGCACAGCTCTGGACTCTTCCGACCTCTGCCCCTGGCTCCCACCCACCTGGTGCCCCTCTCGCCAGTGGACAAGCTTTCATGGACGCATCCCTCTGCCCAGAATGCTGCTGCCTCTCCTGGTCTGGGGTAGACAGCGTGGGCACCCCCTACCCAGCTCCATCTTCCGGGTATGTGTTTGTGTGGAGCTAGCCTCCGCCACAGAGGAGCCCTTGAAGTGCAGCCCAGCCCACAAGAGGTGCTCAGCAGGCAACTCACATGAACTGCCACTTTGACCTGGGCTGATGTCACCCAGAGCCTCTGTCACCATGGATGATGAGAGGCCCAGCACTGGTCTGGCTCAGGGGCTGCTGGGTAGACCCTGGGAGGATGTGGGCAGCTAGAACTCAGGGCCGTGGAGACAGTCTCCTGCTGGCAGAGTGGTCAGCTGCCTGCCCACGCACAGGCTGTGGGCATCTATGCCCTGGATGCCCGCCTAGGCTAACTGGAGCTCGTTGCTTGGCCAAACGTCCTGCAGGCCTTGGGCAGAAAGCCAGCCAGCCTGAGGCAGGGCCCAGGGGCTGTCAGAGATCCTGCCCCCACCCAGGCACTCACCCTGGACAAGGTCACCACATGCCACAACAGGCAAATAATTCAGATAGGCTGACCAGCAAGACAGGGACATGTCAGGAGCCCAGGGCCTTGCTGGGCAGCTTCCCCAGCCAACTCCAGGATTCCGTTCCAGCCTCCAGCAGCTTGTCTTCCAGGTCACAAAGTACAGCCTGGGGCAGATGCCACGGGTCACTGTCTGGGTCACTGTCCAGATCCTGCACTGGACTCAATGTTTGTGTCCCCAAAACTCATCTGTTGAAGTCCTGACCCAAGTGATGGCAGGAGGTGGGCCCCTGTGGGGGAGTGGCTCATGAGGTAGAGCCCCAGGAAGGGGTCTGCGCCCTCTCTC